CCCTCCACTTGTAAAATAGCACTTTACCTCTGCTTACACATATATGCCATTTTATATGCTGTGAGCTGATTATCGAGCCTTCTGTGGTGACCACCTATTTAACCACTGGGACACAATTCAAACTAGGAACTACAGTTGCGGTTATTGTTCCCACACGGACATGTTATGGGTTACCTATATATAGTGTGTGCCCTCTTGGCTCTTTATCTTGTCGACCCGGGCTGCGACCCGACAACATGTACTTTGCAGCTTGTTAATAAATTACTATTTCTGCACCTTCCTTGCACCGCCTCTGACTCCATATCCTCGGCACTACACTTCATTGTAAGAGTCGCGGGTACACCGTGTATGTGCGTATTCCACTGTAGCGCCCGGTACAAAAAACCTAGTTTGTACATGTTCAATACATTTGTAACACTGTACACATGAACGTTTCTTTTTTCGGTTCACCAAAAAAAAAATCTCACTCCAAGCTGAATTCAAATGTTGGCAGCCCTGCATTTAGCTGGTTAGCTTAGCTTAGCATAATAGCTGGAAACAGGGGGAAAGACTTAGCCTTGCTTCGACCAAAAGTTAAAAAGTAAAACAATAACTTGCTTAGTGATTTTAAGAGCAGAGTGTATTTTTAGCAATTAAGATGAACATATTTCATCCCCAATGGACCTTGAGTAGGACACATTTTATTTCAAAGTTTCCAACGTTTTTTGATGAATGCTACGTTGAGCTAGAGATGCTACAGATGGCATTGCTCACTTCTCAAAGGAAGCTCAATCCAGAAAGTTGTTGTGGTTTTACGTGCAGTTAATAGTTTTGCTGCCAATTTAGATATTTCAATCCCAAATGGATGTAATACATTTTAAATATTGTTTTTTTTAAACATCAGGAAAATTAGGAAACAACCAGTAATCACCGGCTGCAGTAGGACCAGTAAAGAAGTCGCAGTCTGACGTACCTTTTCAGTGTCTATGCCCCGAGACATGGACCAGGTGGAGGCGATGTAGTCCATAACTCTTTCACTCAAGCCCTTGGGCACCTGGTAGAGTTTGAGGAAGTCCCGCACGCTGTTAATCATCTCGTGGTAGCGATTTGTGTTGGCGTACATCTGCTGGAAGATTGTTGTCACATTACCAAAGATGGTGGCGTAAAGAAGGGCTGGGGAAATACAAAGAAGGAAAGTAAAATTCTGATTTTTATATGAAATCATATGATTTATTAGCTGCTTGTATTGAGTTGACTTCATGAGGAATGGTTGATTGTGTGCCATAAAAGAAATGTGAAAAGGAAAATATGTGAAAATGCAATTTATTGTCCATTTAAAGATCTGATAGACACTGGATATGTGTTGTAGGGATTCAGTGTTTGGCTCAACCCCACTAAGGTCAATTATTTTCTTCAAGTATTCGTTTTTTCAAATCATCCTGTGGGAATTTGAAATTTTTATTAAGAGGCTTATAAACCCAGGGTCACATAAGACTGCAGAACAATCAAAAAAAAAAATATTCGAGCTTCCCAAGCAAAAAAAACTCCAAATGAAGGTTTAAAAAAATGAAATAACTGTTTTACATGGACACAAACTCTCCCAAAACGTGGTTTACAGCAACAAAATATATATTCCTCCAATTTGTGGTTTATGCACATTCAAATGTACAAATCTTTGCAACGCTGCACTGTTGGCCTTGCAATATAAACTACATCTAATAATAATATATCAGACTAAATGTGCCTTAAGACTTACAGTAATATTGTTTTATGTGGTGAGCACTTGGATCAATCCAGTGGGATATTAACAATTACTTCTCATCATTGCCTTCTAACAAATTCCACAAAACTCTCGCCAAGGGTAAAATCTATAACTACAGCTCTGTATTGATGTGCAGAAACCTCCATCGCCATGCAGTTGTAATATATAAGGATGTCTCAAAGTGATAGAAGGAATAAAGGAAGAGCACAGCAGTGCATCTGAGGTAGTTGAGCTGGTGCAACAGCTGGCGCATGCGGATCAAAGCGATCAGATGTCTGCAGCAAGTGTGTAGTATTCTCTCGGCTCTGCGGCGCTAATTAGCCCGAAGGACGGAGAGGAAACATGCCAGACACACGTTTCAATTATCCTCGGATGATGACAGTAACCTGTGCATGCATTTGTGTGTGTGAGCGTTTGTTTATTTCACAGTGCACAATCAAAGAGTTGAAGAACTGCACAGGGAATAATGCTAATTAAAAAGTGCTCCTCACGGACGAGGATGACGGCAGGTTTCATCCCCATCACTTGTTCAGCCATGCTATCAAGCCTTGTAGTGTTGTATGATTTTCTTGATCTAAACATGAAGAATTTGCTCGTTTGTAACCCATCCGCAGGCATCAGAATTCAGCAGGTTAACAGATCAAGACAGGTTATTTAAAAAGGTCAGAGCCAATTAAATCTAACATGATTTCCTCTTGAGGATGCCCAAGTTTTTCCATGAATGCAACGTTGAGCTCAAGCACTGTCTGCTTTTGATAATAGGCTGCTTGATTTTGCCACAGTACAACCTGACCTGATTTACAAAACAGATTAACAATGAAAAATGGCTTTCATTTATTTTGACGTTCAGAGCATCAACGGCAGAGGATTGTTTTAGTCCTGCAGCCCAGAGCAAGTAGAATAATACACTATATATCATAATTGTTCTATACTATCCAGG